ATTCTTAAAAATCCAATGAAAATAAACACCTTAAGGTTCAATAGACTTTTGTGAGGTTATAAAAAGGCCAGAGTTCATGCTGCTTTGCAGCACCATGTACGACATGTACTTTTGAAGACTGGTACAAGTACAAGTACATCGGTTTTAATAGAGTTTTATTTTATAACAGAATTTAAACCATATGAAACAACATTAAAGCAGATTTTCACAATTCAAAAGTGGAATTCTTCCACCAAATATGACGAGCGCAGCAAGGAACTGGCTAACGTCTCTCATTAACGTACCATAAACTAACAGTGCAAGGCCAAAAACAGGGTGTTTCTCCCCACACACTGAACTCTGAACAGATCACTATTAAACTGCGGTCACGGGGCCTAGCAAAAGCTAAAATCCCGATATTTTCCGTGGTTTACAAGAGCATGTGAGTCATATTCGTTTTCAGTCTGGTTTGGACTGTGGTAAATATTAAGTACTGAACTAATGAAAAGAACGAGGAAAACACACAGGGCCGTTCCTGCGAGCATTTAAGGAATCAATAAAATTTAATCCCCAAGTTTATTTTATTTTCCCTTGTGGAACAAATCATCCTAAAGCCACGTCTTCAGATTTTAATGCTGTACTCAATCTGGGAAATCTGGCTAGCAGTGTTATAATCCGCTCTAAGAGAATCTTCTTTTCTTTCTAAGCTCATTATCCAGGTGCTGGCATAGAGAGACTCAACATGAAAACAGGGATTAGTTTCTGTCTTTCTCTTTGTTTTTTTAACCAGCTTTTTCACGCAGCTTACTCTCTCTGAGGCTGCGGTTGTCAAACACAGGACTAACATTAAACTTCTTATCAACCTCTGCCAGGACGGTCTGCTGTCTGTACACATGAAAGTATTGCTACGTACTTAGGGCTAACTTAAGGGTTGTTTTAGACTTTAAATCACTTCTAGAAATCTTTTAGACACCATTGAACTTTATTTCAACAATTTTTTAACCTATTTTTGGAATAAATTTCATTGCTTTTATATGACAATTCAGTATAAAATTTGAATTGAAGGCTGAGTTCAAACTATGAGCTCAAACTGTATGATACAGCTGACTGGCATATGGAGTGTGTTTTCATGTGATGAGGTTTTCATACTGCACGACTACATGTGTATATTTATTTTGTTGGCTACTTAAGGCCATTGTTACATCTAAGGTCCAGTGGTAATAATGAGGCAACACCTCATTCAACGTAAGACAGACAGTAAGCCCGACTGTGTGCAAAAGGTTGCAGTGTTCCCGTTTGGCCACTTGATGTCAGCCTAAGCAAATGCAAGAAACTCCTAAACGGCTGTTAAGTAGTGATTCTATTGATGTGTGAAAGGAAACCACGGAGTGATAACCAAGTATATTCTATCAATGTTAACAACCTCTGGATCAGTTAAGACTTACAAATGAAAAAAAATCTTCACAAACAGAATTTACTGGAACCCGTACTGAAAAGGTTTACTCGAATCACTTCAAACATTAAACACATCTGACAGCAAACTTCTACAGCAGCAGCAGCAGCAGCAGCAGCAGCAGCAGAGTCCTTGAGAAAATCATTGAATCCCACTAAGTGTGGACCATATGTTTTAACCTTTACAGGGAAGAAGATACCATTCACCTTCAGGGATCAATAAGCTGTTCTTTTACAGGTACTATCTGCGATAGCATCGAGCCTGCCAAAGGCCATAAATCTTCTTTGGTATTTAGTGTCTTTGGCTCTGGGTCAGGCTTCTGTGAATGAGGACTGGGATTCCTGCACATGATCATTCTCTGCCCACTGAAGCACCACATGCTACATGCTAGCATCAATTTAATCAAGTGTGTGGTGATGATGAGTCAGGTCCTTGGGCTCCTGCGAAGATCGTGATGACCGAGCCTTGATGTGGAGGCAGCCGTGACCTCGCTGCATTACTTAACTTGAATTAAAGCCTCGGTGCTGTAATGTAATAGCCAGAGGAGGTATGTACACTAAGGTTTCATAGCTATGATCAAGTAGAGGTGTACAGCTCATCAGCATCCTTTCTTTATGGCCCTGTTTATCACCACTGCACAGCATATACTGCTGTCCTGAGTCCAGGCTGAGGCCAAGGAAAAGCAAAGACAGGTGGGTTTTTTTATTGTTTTTTCCCCTTTTACACTGCTCACTGATGAGCAGAGTGATTATAAAAACAACCCAATGTAATTATAGCCCACATGTGCTTTATGGGAGAGAAATTAATTATCTCTTAAATGTTTACCTGTCACCCAGCAGCAGGGTTATTATAATTCAGCAAAACGCAATCAATTAGCATTGGCACAGATTTTGTCTGGAGGGCACTTAAGCATTTAAGCATAAAAAAGGATCCTAAAATGTTTGAATACTCACACAGCAGCAGCACGGAGGACTTTCTTGGCCAGAGTGGCACCAATTTTTAGTGGACAACAAATCACAGAACCATGCATGTTGAGTCTACTCTTGTGGGCAACAAGAGGTGGACCGTGGTATGTGCAAGAATTGAAAGAATTTATATTGCATTTAACAGTTCTGGGATGGGGTGGTGGTGTTAGGGGGGTAAATTTGGAAGCTAGAAATGGCTCAATGATTTCATTTTGAATTAGAAAATGCTTAAAAAACTGCAAAAAGGCATTTTTACATAAAAATGTCTTTCAAATAAGCCTTTGACAATTCTGTCTCCACAGTTGTTAAAAAACATATTTCTATGTTGTGTCTTATTTCACCCCCTACAGGACAGAGGTGGCTTTTTTATGTTTTGTGCTTGCTCACATTTCCTTATATTAATTTAACCTTTCACCCTATTATTATTATTTCAAATAAATCAAACAGTAAAGGGGAAACAATAACTGCTTTGACGCATTAGGAGGTGATAATGTGTGTTTACAACAACCAGCTGTTAGAAGCTGCAGGAACAAGGATCAGCCTCAGATGCAGCGTGTCTAACCTGTGATCTTCTCTTCCTCACATCCATGAAGAAATACGACCTTCTCCCTGACCCTAATGAAATGATCCTGCTAACAAGCAGGATGGCCTGGCTGTTTGACAGCAGAGAGGAGTGGAGAGAGGAGAGAGGAGCCAGGACGTGCATTGATTGAGTGTCACCACAAAGCAGCAGCTCCACAGAGACATGGAAGATGCTGGAGGGATATAATAGAGACCATGTCGTATGGAACAAGCCAATCAAAAAGAGCTGAGGGTGTAAAGAGCCCACGTTTACTTGTCGATGTGGTTTACAGCAAACCATACGTGTACTTCAACAGAATGCTGTGAAGGGTTCTTGGTGTGACATCGAGACATTAATCTATTCTGGTCTCACTATGAGTGTTTGATTTTTCGCCCCCAAATTAACTAAATAAAATATACTATCCATTCAACATCATACAGCCCACAGCAGTGGGGCCACAGGTATTTTACTCGACTCACTTCCCAGTACAGGATGTGACAGCATCACCAACATGAAGTGCACATCTGCATGTAAGTGCATATTTATACACTCCAAAAAGCAGAGACACTAAATTAAAGAAGCTCTTCTGTGATTCTCCGGTCGACAGATTAAGCAGCTAAACTCAGAGTGAGAACATCTGGCCAGACTTTATAAACAGGAAAAGTTTCTTTAAGCAGCTACAACTCTACTTCAGGTCTACTTCAGTACAGCTACATAAACTGACACAAACTGACTGCTGCTGCTGCTGCCGCTGCTGCTGCCTCCACCTCAGTCAATGCTTTCAGAAGATGCTCCTGTACATCTGTGCTCTCTATTAACTCATCTTCTTCCTCCTGCTACCTGCTGTCAGCTGTAGGAGCTGGAGCCAATCACAGCAGACACTCTGTAAAGTCAGAGTGTACCTGGACCAGTTTGTCACTACACGGCAGAGTCAACATGCAGATAAAAGCATCCGTTCAAAGTCAAAATTGGTCAATTTAAATTCTCCTAAAAAGCTTCAACTCCAGGATCTGGAGAATCAGCTTGTGTCAAATCAGCATTTGGATGTTTTTCTTCAAATCTTTGCCTCTGTCACTGAGTGCTTTTCAATTTTCCAACATGCTCTCAAACAGTTATTTCTATGAACACAGGGCTTTTAAACTCAAGACGGAGATTGGACCATGTTATTTCAGCAAGAATATTAGATTCAAGAAGTCTAAGGCAGCAGACAGAACTTTAATTTATCCTGCCCTGTGTCATAAAGTCACTGCTTTTTATTCAGTGGCAAGATGTGTGAGATGAATTCACCTATTACACCTGCACCAGGTTCAGGCTTTTTTTTTATACAGTGATTAGTTTAAATCTTACTTTTAACTGAAAGGCTCTTGACATACACTCCCTCAAGATTAATAATAAATTACTAATGGTATGCTCCTCCAGTGTCCTGAATTTAAGGTGAATTTATGCATGAAGGAAAACTGAGATTACATCAGGAAGAATGACTGCATACAGAAAATGAGCTCAACAGAAAGAACAAGTCGTGTTACTCTTACACACGCTGTGACTTCAGTGCCTCTGCATTAAGAACATTAAACTTACAAGTTAATCGTAAAGATACACTGTATTAACTACATATATATAGTATATATGCTATATATATATATATATTGTTTTATATTTTATTGTAGTTTTTGTGATTTTAATGGTGACTAATGTGGACTGTAAAAGGAGGGAACTTGATTTAGAGTAACGCAGATCTGTATATGAGCCTGTATAGGATTGACAAGGCCTCAGAAATGAAATGTTTCAACATAAGGACCTGACTTTGGTGCATGTTTGTCAAAAGAATTAGTTGATATAATTATTATTTTTTAAAATAGAACAGAAATACAAACATGATCAATTACATCCAAAGCAGAGAAATGCTCATGTTCTGAGATGATGAGAAAACAATGGTGAATAACTGTGATAACACTGATGTGAAAGCATGGTTCAGAGGCGGATACCAAACACTACTCTTCATCTGTGTAAATTAAATTAAGAAGATTTGACTTGATGTTACCCAGAAGCTCCATGGCGTCGTCCTCGTCCTCCATCTCATCCTCTGTAATGGACAGAGCTGGACTGTGGACCGAGTCAAAGGAGTCCTGGGACAACATGGCAGCCAGGAGCTTCTTGTGATGCTGCTGCTGCTCCTTCAGCCCTTTGCTCTTGGTTTCCATCTTGAGGCTGAAGGTGACAAACGCAGGAGAGTAGTCAGGATGGCGGGAGCAGAAGGAAGAAGACGACTTTAATAACAACTTTCTCAGGATAGTAATTGCATCCTCTCGTCCGGCTCTGTCTCATAGTCTCCACTAATGTTGTACTTGCTGCAGTGCCGTTCACACGAGTGTGTCTGAAGTGTCTGTAACTGCTGCTGGCTCTTGGCAGCCGCTCCACAGCAGTTAGAGACAATTACACACAGTCAGATGGAGTACACTGCAGGTGCTTTACAACCTTCTATAAATGATTAACAAGATTTCTGTAAAATTTCTTTAAAAAAGAGGTTTGGTCAGTTTGATAAAATTTTGACTTTTTACAACACTTTCCAAATTTACAACAGAATTCTTTCCATATAATCTTATAATCTATAATCTAAGAGGAAATCTTAAATTAGAACATATCCTCAGATGTTTCAGTAAAATTAAAGACTCTTAAGACTGGCTGGCTCTATTAATGAATAAATACAAAATAGAACGACATAGAAAATACAACTCTAAGATTATCTGACTTAAAATGATTAAAAGAAAGTAATATAAATATATATATTATATATATATATAAATCATTAACACATGGTCTAATATTTACAATATTGAACATCACATTTTTTAAGATGGTATTTGACAGCTTCACAGTTTTTGCTGCGAGCTCTGGTTCATCTGTGTTGATTTGCGAAAACCTGAAACATGGTGAACAGATTTAATGATCAAATATTTCTTCCGCATCTCCAACAGTCGAACATACAGACGCAGCTGTGAGGAACGACCTTTAAACAACCTCCACATCCGGGGAAATTAATTTCCCCTATATTCCTACATCTGAAGGCATGGATTAGAGAGTGGGAAGAGCCTTAATTTGATGTTAATCTGACTTTTAATGACTTCTATTTACAGATAGTGAGCGGGGGTCACGAGACGATGGATATTTCTTTGTAATTATGTCTCGCTAATAGAGACACGGCTGAGGCTGTCGGCGTGTTGCTGCATATTTTTGTTTTGCACATTTTCTTCACAGTTGGTGAGTCTTTGAAAACTGATGGTAAAAGTCTGACTGTGTGCCTCCGAAGAAAATTTTAACAATGTGCTGTGGACTCCCTGTGGTTGCAAAAGTTTTTCAAAACAGATATTAAAATGCAACAAAGATGCAAGTAAAAAAAAAAAAAACAGGAGGGAGGGGGACTAACCTAAATCTTTAACAAAAATATTCAACATTTCATATTTCTTTTGACAGAAGATAAAGTATTTACATTTTCTCCAATACTTTATTTTTCGCTGCTGTCACTTATATAATGTCACACCAGAGGCTGTGCGGTGTTTAAATAAATTAAATAGAAAGAAATGCCATACACAGTTTGGTTCTTCATGTCTGTCCCTGAGTGATGTCCCACATCAGACTCCACTGGACAGTGGCTGTCAAAACACGCTATTTCCTGGAATATACTTGTGCCTCAGTTAAATCTGATTTCCCATGTGCCCCTGCACTTATGCTTCCAGAGCCTGTAGTCCCAGCACCACCACCTGTCAGCTCCTTTAATGTTCCTCAGTGACAGCTGGGATGGAAGGGGAGGGAGAGAACTTACCAAAGTAAGAGGACGAGATGGACTGGTTTGACAAATGAGGTCAAAAATGAGGGATTCAGTCTGAAAGTGCACCAGCACCAGAAGAAGAAGGTCTCAGATGGGATTTTCAAAATCCAAGGTCCAAAACAAGACAATTTTCCACTCACTCATTTTAGGCAAAAATATTTAAATATAAATTATTTTCTTTTGTGTAAAAAAACATTATAAATATGAACAAACAAGTTAAGATAATTTTCCAAACAAAATCCAATGTCAAATAAAAGTAATGAATGTACATAATTTAATGAACTACAGTGATCTTCAGTTTCAATTCACTCGTGGTGTAAAAAAACCCTGTCCTCTTTGGTTAATTAAATAACACAATGCAGATCAGATCACAGGAATTGAAGAAAGAGGCATAAGGTCTTCTTCAACAGCTCTGCGTCGATCTCTTTTTTTTTTAATTTATAGCCATCTGCTGCCACCTAGTGGAATAGAATTAAAGTGTTCTGCCTGGCACTGCTGCATGGAGTAACAAGAATGTGTTTTGTTTGTTTGAGGTAAAACAAATATTATTTTTCAATCCAATTAAATGACATTGAATAATATCTAAGTGTTAGAATCACAAATCATCCATGCACATTAAAAGTGTTCTTTAGTATTCCGTGTATTTCATCTTGATCGTTCTCCTTAAACATAATTTTAATGTTCCTGCTTTTTTGCAGGAATAAAATTAATGGGTACTTACATTCTTCCATCAAACCAAACCGTCACCAATTTTTTAACAATGCCATGTCAGTGCTTGACTGAATTTCTCTGAATTATGCAACTGACAATTTGACTACATTCACACATACAGCAGTGACGTTTCTTCTAATGTTTTAACTGATGTCTTTGAAAATGGTCGTTTTCGGTTAAATAACTCAAACACATGAGCCACTTTGGCAATAACCCAATTCACAGCTCTTTGATATTTTCTTGGTTGAAGCCGGTTGACGTTTCCATTGGCAGGGCAGTGAATCTACAGTACAGAGAGCAGAGCTGATCAGCCCACACACATCCCTATCTCCCAGCTCAGGCTTCCAACCAAGAGATTTCTCCCTATAATCCAGCCATATAGTAACCTAATGAGATTAGCATTATGTATATGTCAGCTCATGCCCACATGATTTATGGTTTTATACCCAGTTCTCCTCTAATTAGTCACATCAGCAGCTGCAGCAGTGCACGTGACAGACAAAACCAAAACCAAAGACGACAGAGAGGAAACAGGCTGAGAAGAAATTAAGACATAAAAAAACAATACTGAGAGGATAAGAAATTATTCATCAGTTTAATATTAGATACCATCACAGGGGCAGAGTCTGGCTGTTTTTTTTATTGAACCAAAATTCCTCTGGCCTGGAGCACATCAGAAATGAGGGAAGCCTTATTTCAAATTTGGAGCAAGTGGCCTCACAGCAGCCGTTTTTGATGACGCCTTTGAAAACGGATTATCAAAACCATTTACATCAAAGTTCTTCAGGCAGCAGGAGTCAAAGTTTGACATCATCCACCTCCTCGTTTAGGAAAATTAATACCGGCAAAAGTAAGTAACTAAAATAACTAAAAGTATACTTTTGGTTCGTTGAATAAATGACAAAATAACTAAAAGTATACTTTTGGTTCAAAGTGATGGAGGAATGATAAAAATGTAACATAATTATGGGTTGGTGATGGTTCTTAGTCAATCATTTGATGTTATCTTAGAAAGGGATATAAGTTACAACGGGGGGAAAAATGTCTTCAAAAACACTACTGGAACAGTGAGGTTCCTCAAGATAATGAGGAAGATTAAATGATTGTAACAAAACAAACCATTAGCCTATTAATCGGTGCAGAAAGCTTCTAAAATAGAATATTTGGTATAGCACAATAATATAAATTGGCCCACAGCTAAGTGAAAGCTTGACCAGGAAATTACAAAAAGAAAATGAACAAATTATTGAATACCAACCTGCCAGCAGGGCTGCTGTCTCTATTCCAGCACACTTCACTTTTGGTCCTGGGGACAGGAGGGAGCAGCATTTCAGCAGCAAGTGGGTCTGCATCCACTTCCTCCCGTCCAACCCACTCACCCACCACCCGGGGGCGCAATACTGGGTTATAACCTCCTAAACTCTGAAAAAACAAAGACAAAAATGAATGTCAAAACACTGCATTAGAAGATCAGTGAAGACGTGGTCATGCTACATTTACAGTGCACTTACACAAGCTGTGTTTTTAAGTAAGACTTTTTAAAAGCAGTGTAGTACTGTAGTATTTCCACTTCTGTAGTCTTTGTGATCTGGGTAGGTGTTTAGTATTCATTGTGTCCTGTCCTACAGAAAAGCATAACAAATATCTGGGCTGAGAGCCAGGGACGTTAGACATGAACCACTGCACTGAGCACACACGCCGTGTGTGTGTGTGTGTCATCAGTTCAGTTCCAAGCGCCCATGTGCACCTCCAGCCTGTGCCACCACCGCTGCACTACAACCGAGTTGGAAACACAACAGTGAGGGCTACGCAAGGACAAAAACCTCAACATAATACGTTTTGCAAAGTGAGCTGCACAGTGGAGCAGCAAAGGAGGAGCAGGAGACGGAGGACATGTTTACTGAAGTGCCACAGTCACAGTTTACTCCCATGACAGAGCGCTTCATCATCAGAGAAGTGGCTGCGCTGCTCTGTCAAACAAATGAAAGTCTTGAAATATGGTTTTTATTAGATTTAGTGATTGAGGCCAGCCTCTGTGAAAAGCGTCTCCACAGCAGTTCATTGACAGTGTTTATAAAAAGGACTCCAGTGGAAGTTAATGTGTACCTGGTCAAGCTCATCTGAGATGGCGATGCCTGTAGAGAGAAGAAAATAGTTTAAAGCACTGGGAAGAAAAAAACGTGTCTTCAGACTCAACAGCATGATGCCCAGACAGACGCTGTTTTCTCTCACAGGATTTAGCAGAGGTTTTCAGAACTATGTTCCTTTATGTTGAGTAAAGCTGTCACTTTTCATCCAAACTTTCAATATCTGTTTTGAGCCTGAGGGTAAAAGTTCACTGAAGCTACTCTGGAGGACTGGGATTCACCAAAGTTGATACCATCTACTACTTTAAATGCAGCTTTACCTTAAATCCCCTCCTTAGTAGAAGAAGACAGTGGTGCTGCTGTGTTGTTTTGCTGTTAGCAAGCAAGCTAGTCCACCCACTTGTGACTGCTTTTAGCAGACATAGGACTTAAAGCTACGGTTGTTTGACTGTTCAAAAGAGTTCTTGAGGAAGACACATTTAATACTTGATCAAGCAGAAGAAATAAAAGCCAAATACCCAAAAATAAGAAGCACTGGATATGAATACCTCCACGTCTGGCCAAGAAATGGACACTGACTAGTTTTCTGGGATTGTTTAAGCTGGCAGTTTACATTAGTTGTAATGCAGCTCCTGTGTTACACTTTACCTGATAGTCATAAGTTTATGACTATCATTATTTATCTGCGGTGCTGAAGCCACTTACTGCGTGACAGGCTCTCCAGGGCCTTGCCCAGTTTCTTGCTCTCCTGTAAAATGTGGCTCAGCTCGTCGAAGTCTCGACTCTCCCTCCAGTCCCAGGATGGGTACTCCACTGACCGTTGCACTGGGAATTAGAATAAAGTATTAGAATAAAATAAGACCCCTCTGAGTTATTTTTTTTTATTCCTAAATGACAAACAAAGTCTAGAAAGACTATTGATGCTAATGTAGTACTCTGGAGGAGCAGTGTCAGCTGTAAGCTGAGCCCCTTAAGCTGCTCATCAATGGTTTGTGGTACTTGGCAGTGGCGTAAAGTGGAATGGAAACACCAACAGAAAAATCAAACTCGTCTCATCCACAGACCAGCAGAGAGTTCAGCTGGACACAGGCCAGGGGACAGCGTCTGTCAGTCCCTTTGATTCACACTCAGACTCACTGTACCTCAAACTGCTGCAGGCAATGACCCACATACTGTACTGACATCCAGCCCATGTCCTCGAGCAGCACAGCACACAGTCTACATGATGGTTTATTCATAAACCCATGGATTCAAGCATTATTGATAAAGGTGGGGCAACATTGCTTTGAGGGGTGGTTGGGGGGGGGGTAGGTTGTTTGTACTTCATGTATATACAACGTTCTCATGCTGTAACACTGCTGTGTTTGAGAGAAGATGAAAAGTGAGACGTTGATGGTACGTGTTTCCTCAGTCAACGCCTGAACAGACGAGCTAAACAAGAAACAGGAATACAGTCTATTCCTGTGGGAAAAGTTTCTCCACACTCTAACCTCCATTCATTCATCTTCTCTCATTTTCAGTGTCACAGGGTGAGACGTAGCCAATCACAGCAGTCACCAGGCACGGATGAGGTTTTCACATTCACACCTTTAGTCAATTCACTGGTCCAGATCTCCACCCCCTGGCCCTTATCTTCTGCTGTGTAATATAATAACAGTAATAATACTGTTAATTGTGCAAACTGCACTGGTGTACTTCTGAACTACATGACACGTGTGGTCCAGAGAGATGACTTGCAAACGGAAGGATGCATTTAAAAGTGATTCTTCGACCTCAAATAGCTGCTAATAAAAGTAAGTGATTAACATAAAATGAGAGGGCAGTAAATATTTGATAACCATAAACTTAGAGGAAACAAAGACCAGAGGATTAAAAGTTTTCATTCGTTTGTTTCCACTGCTCTGCTGCTGCAGTAAAAGGCTCCGCCGTATCTTAACAGCTTAACTGAGGGGTTAAGAATTCAACTCTCTGTGGGACTTTCTATTAAAAAATTCAAAACAAGTCAATGTGAGGTCAAACCACATTAACCCTTCATCAAAATAATTACAGAATAAAACTGGAATAATACTGTTCAGCATACTTCTTAAGCCTCTGCATTAGAAAGGCCGTTCATGTCAATCATGCCACATGGTAAAATGTGTCACGGGGTCTTTTCTTTGATTTGAATTTTTCATGAGCCCTTCAGCTGTGCATATATATTTAATCATTTTTAACATTAGATGTCAGTTTTCTTCTTCTGGATAGTTGACAGGAATAGTGAAGATAAACAAAAGACACCGTTTTTGTAGAGCTATATCTTCTAGCGTTTCTAACTTTGTAACTGCTTCTTTTCTCACAACATTTTGCCGACTTCATACAAGTCGTGCAACATTTACCTTCCTTTCACTTCTGACTCACTGCAGCCTGAAATAGACTTGTTCTGGCAGTGACTGAGCTAAAATATTGAAGTTGTCTTTGGCTCAGTCCGTTCACCGCCCTGACCCGGTCCGACCATCTTGAATTTTGTACTTTATTCTTTATAACTTACAGGAAAACTGAAAGTAACAGCTGAAAAAACCTCTTTATCAGCATCTACAACGCACTGATGCATGACGGTGGGAACGGTTCATCTAAAATAAACAGAACAGAAGTGGCTGCTGGTGATGAAGTCGTCTACAGGCCGATGATGGGGCTGTTGGACTGTACACTGTGACTAACGGTAATTAGATGTATTTGTTATCGAATTAAAAATGGAGATTAAAGCCAACGGAGCATGTAATTGGGAAACAACTGCTACAACAGGTGGTGTGGGAATAAGTGTTTGATGAAAGTGAGAATCACTTTGCGCTGCTCCAGTATAGATTGGTCCACTGTGGATAACTCTCAGGGGTGATTTGGCAGACCCTTTCAGTTTATCTTAGTTTAGGCCAGAAATCAGGACACAAACCAAAGTGACCACAGAAGACTGAGAATATGAATGACAAAAATAAAGATAATGTAAAAACTGACTTTTTTTGGTCAGTTTTCTTGGTCAGGAAAAATCTTAACCTTTATCTTTGCACACATTTCTGTGAAATAAATTACTGTGCAGAGCAAGAATCTCATTCTCACAACATTTAGAAATGCAAAAAAAAGCAGGTGCTGAACCTCTTCGGCCTCGACAGAGAACAGATGGAGGCAAATGGAAACAGTTAAATGTTGAGCTTCAGGTTCTCTGAATTGGCTTTAAATACTCTTACTACTTAATATTTTTAAACCAGGGTCTAAATCTCATACAATGGGGAGCAGTGTTCAATGTCCAGTGCAGAAAAATATTGTATAATATAAACACTGTTAAGAAGAACATGTAAGTATTGAATTTTTTTAACCAAAAAATCCCCATCTTTTAGCACTATCTATACTGGTATTTATGCTTTAGACGGGCCAACAATCATCTTAGGTATTTCTGCTTTAGACGGGCCAACAATCATCTTATTTTATCTTTTATCTAGAAAGGTTTATCAAGTTTAATTATGATATTCACTGGTTCCCTTTACGTCACCGTTTGGCAAAACTGTAGCGGTTTTTGTCTAACGTAAAGTTATTCATAACTATAACTTCAGTGGTTTCTTCTGTACTAACACGATTAGAGAAACACTCACAGGGTTGAGATTCTGGCGAAGGAGGAGACAGAGTGGAAACAGCCAGGTCACTCTTGGACTTTTTGGGTTTCTTTGGGTGAAACTGCCACGGCCGCTCATAGTTGCTACACTCTCGCCGAGTGTTTTTGTTTTCTTGAAAGAGACAAAGACACAACCAGAAAAATATTTTCATTTGAAATCAAGACCATATAAACATCATGAAAATCATTGTTTAACTTCTGATTACGTTTCTCTAACTTTCTTTAAGAAACTGTTCAATCTCGCTGTTTCCTCTGATCTGCTCTCTTCTAATCTTGTCCATTCTGAAGAAAATCTAAGCATCCTCGCCTCCATCACCTCCATCTTAGCCTTTCATCTTTCAGACAGCGTCCCGCTCTCTGAAGCTCCTCTCTTGTCATCTCCCTGTGTCAGACGTGTGACACACATCAACCCTGACACTTCCTTCAACTATTTGCCTACACCTCTTTCCTGCTCTGTCCATTCATTTAGACACTAACTCCTAGCATTTGTTCACCTTCACTCATCTGTGCTCTTCATCTTCACCTTCGCACCTGCCTCACTCTCATTCACACATACAGTACATATGTACAAACCTGGGGAGCTCTGTGCCCACAGCGCCGCGGAGCCAGAGAGAGCTCTGTGGAGTTTGCCAGGACTGTCTTGCTTGGTCTGGAGGTGATCAATGAGGAAGGGGATGGGGTGGTCTGGAGTCTCCGTTATCAATTTGGTCATCAATTCCTACAGGAGCAGGGTAGAGTAGAGGCTATTTAGAGGAAGCTGCAACTGTAACAAGGAGAAGTGTGCTGGAGCGGAGATAATCAATCTCTGCGAGATTTAAAAGTCTGGCTCTGTAGGTGTATTCAATACCACAGGAGAGTGGATACAAACAGGAAGTCAATGAAGTGAGATAATCCTCCTCTTCTCTATAGAAGAGCATCATTTTAATACAGCAAGCGCTAATACCCTAAAAAGAAATGAAAAGGTCTGAGTAAACACCGCCAGGGAGTCCCCACAGCCAGGAGAGCTCCACTTTGGTATCAATTAGCAGAAAACTCAACAGTGAAATTCATTAACAGTCAAATAACAATGGCAGAAAACATCCAGTTTCCAAAGACCCAAGAGAGCAGCTCCGAGGCAGCACTCCTGAAAGTTGACTGCTCACTTTCTGTTCAACTGGCTGTGTTAACGGTACAGAAATGAGTTTCTTATTTTATCTTTACTTGTGTGTTGTCTAATGTGACAACAGTGTCGAAGGGAAGACCTTTTGTATAATAAAGACATTTATTATTATTATTTTTATTATAATTTAAATATCCTTCTGTCAATTATAAGAAATTAAAACTGGCTGTAAGCATTTACCTACGTGTGTGTGTGTGTATGTGTGACTGTGAGTGTGTAGCTCCATGAATAGGTATTAGAGCTAACACTGTTTGGGGAATTTAAGACTGTTACAGCAAACTATACTGCAGAGGAGAGTCATTAGTGGACTGCAGGGAATTGACAGTGATGTATGGACTGTCCGTCTGTGTGTGTGTGTGTGTGTGTGTGTGTTATGGCAGCTGGCCTCGACTGTTCTGTGTTTTTCCTGATCCTAGTGTTAACAGCAACTGTATTATCGCTAACAAAAGGCAGATGTGCGATCAAAGATTAGCGCTTTACTGAATTTATACTTAAATCATTTCATGTCAACAACCCATGTTTGGGTTAAAACTGAAAAATCTGAAAAATGTACGTTTCCGTTACTGTTTCTGACTCATTTAACAGTTTTAATAACAGCCAGACTACAGTGAATATATATACATATATAAAATGAAAGTTTGAACTATTCCAGTGTTTACAAGTGTTCAACAGCACAAAGAGATGTTGCTTTTTTAATGTGATGTCAAGTAGGTGTTGAGGTGTTTCCAGGTAAAAAGGCACAGTTAGACGTGCAGGGACTTGTAGTAGAGGCAGCACTGAAATTCAAAGACAGCTTTGAAATATCTTGAAAATACCCGCTGCGACCTGCAGGACATTGATGGTACTTTCTAACATAGTGTTTGACTCCCTAGACTAAAGAAGCTGAGATCAGGGTCCTTCACTATTCCTTACATTATATATAAAAAAAGAAATCGCAGTAAATCTGAGCATAAAACACTTCAAAATAAGGGGGTAACTGCTATTGATGTTCTCTATTTATATGCTAATAATGTGTTTGTAAAAAAAAACTCTGGTGGTGTCATGTTTTCGTCTAACAGGAATTTCAGTGAGACTATTTTGGGACCAACACAGAGATAATTCACTTGGAACGACTTATATAAGCAAACAATAATAGAAAGGAAAAACCAAAAATAAAAAAACCAGCTGTGGACCAGTGGATAGACCACGTCCTCTATTAAACCTAACCATAAGGAGTTGTCAGGTGTTTGGTTTCCAAGTGTCCTGTGCCCCAAAGCCAAAGGCTTTAGTTTACTAGATTTTTGAGCCAATATATGTTTCTTGGTGTTTTCACTTGCAGTAATGCTGCCCTCTGATCGTATTTTCTCTTTTCTATTGCTACTTGTCAGTGACATTACCAGGTAAGAAATGGAAAATTTAAACAGCTGTTCAAAACAGTCTGGCAGACTATCTTTAGTTTTAGAATTAACCTTAGACACCTGGTTACAATTAGGGTTTGGTCTGAAGGTCTGTTTGGGGTTTTTATTTTTTTAATGGAGAGTGCTTACATAACCTACTTTTCAAATCATACATCTCTGTGTTTGGGATAAACAGCTGGATGTTTTAGTCCCTGCATTAGTGTCGTCTGGACTGGGCAACAGGTGGAATTAGTTACTGACAAATGAACTTCATATCAGTAGAGATCTATGGGTGCAACCAGATAAATGAACATTATAGGCAGTTGGGTCTGGCAGTGGTAATCGACAAGCTGTCAACCGGCCAAGAGACACTCGTGTCCTTGGAAGCTCCCAAGGACTCCCTATGGATACACACTGACAATCATGGTACTGTGACTGATGCTCTCTGCATCTCTGCTGCTTATACACACACACAAAAATAAAGTTGAGATGATGTGGAAAAGAAGAAGAGCGTAATTAGACAATGTTTTGAAGTGGGTGGTAGACAAAAGGACAAAGGGAGACATCTACGGGACATCTACACGACATCCATCCTGCCTTAATATCCAGTTAAACACTGACACACGACATCCATCCTGCCTTAATATCCTCCATGACTCAAACTAATCTCCTTTATCTGAAAGGTTTGTTTTTTTTTGTGAATTAATGAAATTTTGATTTTAAACTAAACTAGTTTTAACTATAGGCGCCACCATACAGTAAATTAGTATTGTGCTAATCAGCAATATTTTTTGTATCATTTCACACTGTTCAAAAGAATACAAAAAGTACCACTGTAGGTTCAAACATTAGGAAACATTCCTGTAACTGCAACTGGTTTAAGAAATAAACACAACACACAGCCTCAGTAGCCATGGTTCCAGAGGACCATGCCACCTGACATATTTCCTTCATGACGTGTCCTTCTGTAAAATCATTTAAATGCAGCAGCAGCTCTTACGGCGTTGCCTGGAGGGCTGAGTGTCCCCGTGTCCTGTGCTGGAGGCCGCTGGTCGTAACTGATTTACAGTCACCGCCATCCTCCAGTCAAACACACAGATGCATCATATCACGGGGTATTTAAGGTGACATCCGTGTGTCAGTTCTGTTGCTCGGTAGGAGACAAAAAACTACGTGACGAGGCAGTTCAGGTGAAGATGAGCAGACAGTCAGAGGAAGACTGCTGGGAAACCTGGACAAGATCCAGACCTTGACTAAGCAGCAGACAAGAGCAGCAGAGACCGTGAGAGAGCCAATGTCACCTGACCAGATGATTCTCATCAGATATGGAAGAGACGCTCTGATCTGTCTCCCTTAATCCGTCCTATAGCAGTGACTCAAATCCATTTTGTAACCGCTACATGTTTGGCTTCAGGAGCGATGATCTTTTTTTGGGACAGAAAGTATCGAACACCAGATATTTTCAACAATGGGTAATCAATTCAAGCAGAAATCAGACCAATGGCTATGACTGTATTCTACTTTTTCCACTCGATCACCTGATGATCATCAGCAATTTAAGCTGCAGCTCACTGATTTGGTATGATTTGGTCAGTTTATTACAAAGGTAACATTGATATTTAAAGTCATACTTCAGGGTCCATCTTTAACACAGGCCACTGCAGTACATCACAGTGTAAGATCACAGATATTCTCTCGGGAGATCTTGACGGGTGTAAACAAAAATGAAACTTGTTGGCCTAATGAGAACCTTTAATGTTGCAAAATGCTATTTTGATGAAGTCCATACCAAAAATAATGGCCTGTATTTGAACATGACGACTTCATTATCGTTCACTGCGGACACTGCACTGTGTGTTTTCACTGCACGGACAGAGGAGTCTCTGCTGCACCAGTGTCAGTAACAAGCTCCAAATCCTCATCATTCTGTTCTGATCACATCCTCTCTCTGTCTGATCTCACTGATATCCTCCGCCTTTGCTCCCCGAGGACCCTCCTGGCCTCGGGCTGCCTGTTCATCTGCCTGTCTTGTAATTACTCTAAGTGTGCATGAAGGTTAGCTCTATAAACCCATGCATGACGGAACAGCTTTCATTATAAAGTCATAAAATTTGAGGCCGTTGTCAAATTTTAATGGGGAAATAATATTTCTGGAGAACAAAAGCAGGGTCTCAGTGGTTCATCCCTGAGTTTAACTCAACACAAACTGTTTCTGTTTACAAAATGTCGACCGCTGTTTCCTAAATGTGAAAATCGCTGAATCGTTGTCATCTTCTCTTCGCCTCCCGAGAGAACGAATGTCGAAAGTTTCAGTTTCACACAGAGGCACAGCTGTCAACACAAACAGCAGTTCGTATAGATTTTATACTTTGTAGTGAACGAACAGTTCAGGGTAATTTGACTGTTGTGAAGTTCACTGAACACAACCTCAGTTTAATATTGTGTACCATTAAATGGTCAGGAAAGAAGGTAAATAAAGTCATTTCACAGAAATTATAACTTAAAAGGTTAAAAGTAGTTAAAGCTACAAAACATCAATTATGTAAAATAAATTATATACAATGAATAGTACTAATAAATTAAAACTAAAACTGCTTTTAAAAATACTAAATAGTACTAATAAACTAAAAGGATTTTTTTTGCTTTTAAAAATACTACTTTCTTCTTTATCACCTTTTTCCCTAACATTCTTCATCTCCCCCCTCACTCCTTCTCCTGCCTCCGACCTCTACGTCACCTCTTTAATCCTCCTCACATTTGACCCCAGGTGTTGGGATTTATCCTTCATCTTCACAGTTACATTTCACATCCTCGTCTTTCCATCTGCCTCGCTCTGACGAGTCTCACCTCCACCTCCACTTTCTCTCACTTCTCCTTAGTGGATGACCTTCGCCTGTCGAGTGCCTTGTCCATAACTCCACACCAGGAACAGTTGACAATGAAATCCATGGTTTTTTTTGCAGTTTTAGCATCAAGTTTATGTTGAAAAAATCTGCCAAAAACTTTTTGAGTTCAAAGTTCAACATACTCCAACATACTGTAGTAAAACACCTCAACAATAGACATAAAAATCTAAAGCTCAGAGCCCTCTGATTGGTTGGAGTTTTTTTTCTTTTTCTTTTTTTACATCTAACCAAGTATTGTTTTTAATAATTAATGATTTAGATCCTGCACAATAAACTC